TTTGTCGCAGTTTTTGTGCATTCTCTTGAATACAAGGACAGAGGGTATGTCTTTCTAGGAACACCTTTGTTTCCCAAAAGCGACATAAAAATGGGAGTACAAAACTGGAAGAGCTCATATAGACTGCAGTGGCACAGAACCCATACAACAATCAATTTTCCAGCTCCACAGAGGCAGAGCGTATTCCCCTCCCCGATTCCCTGACCTCTCCTCTAGAGTTTTCATATGAAGGCAATTCTGGTTTTGACCTCCAAAGCCATTAAACTCCTCAGTAAGCAATTTCTATCTCTATATTTTACTTTCCTTGCCACACACTAAAGATTATTTACATTTTAAAAAATAATTTGGGACAATGTCTGTGAAAAACAAAGAAGGACTCTTGCTGAAACGTTATGCTAACTTGGACAGATACTGCACACAGTCCTGCCATGTAACCTGGCTCAGAATCAGCAATGCCCCAGCTTAAATGAATTCAGTCTACAGATCTGTTTATGTGGGCATCACACAGAATAGGGGCAAGCTCTAGTTTTATAGTCTGTGCTAATACTGAAGAGAATATAACTTCTGGAAACAAATGTTATCTATGCATCATCCTGTCCAGTTCCAACACAAAAATCTGCAATGAATGAGCTGATAAAAATCTTATTACTATGACACACTACCTTGAAACACTAAAGATTAGCCTTTAATTAAAAATTACTAATACTGATAGAGATCAGATAGACAGCCATCAGAAAATGGGAAAGACTATTTCCCATGGAAAATATGCCTGTGGAATTAAGGGTTGATATGGATCCAAAACGCAGGACAGTCTCAAGAACACGAATGACATCTTTGATGGAAGAGTTCAGTAATTTGGCAACTAAAATTGTAGCCAGCAAAGATGAATTAATCTGCATAACTAATAAATACAGGAAGTGAACTTGACACTTGAGAAATAGACCAAAGCTGAGACACAACCCTATTCTCCAAAAGCTCTCTTTGGACAGGTAGTTATTTCTACTGACAGACACTTAACCTCAGCTACTCAGATATGCTCCTTCACATAATAAACAGAGATGAAATCCTTGTGCTGCTGAAATCAACGGCAACCCTGCCATCGATTTCCCCCCATCATTTCTCAACTCATAGTGATACCATTGGTTATGGATGAATCGATTGACGGAGATGACAAAATATATCACTTTTATGGCACAGTACAACTCTATTAGTGATGCTTTTCACAGGTGTATGAATCTGTATGTATGAGGTACCATCTGGTACCACAAGCCACCACTTACTACACAGATTTTCCTGTACGCTGGAATTATGTTTTTAACTATTACAGTATGTGCATATATGTATGTCGTGGTTTAACCCCAGCGGGTGACTAAGCACCATGCAGCTGATCGCTCACCCCTCCCCCTCAAGGGGATGGGGAGGAGAATGGAAAAAACCCTCATGGGTTGAGATAAAGACAGTTTAATAGGATAACAAAGGAAGAGAATGATAATAATAATAGTAATAACAATAATAATAAAACCAGTCATGTACAAATGCAATTGCTCACCAAATGCAGAAAAAACCCAACACCCCGATGCCCAGTGTGTTTTGGAGCGGCGATCCCGCCTCCCAGCTAGCTTCCCCAGTTATATACTGATCATGCCATTCTATGGTAGGGAATATCCCTTTGGCCCGCCTGGGTCAGCTGTCCTGGCTGTGCTCTCCCAGCTTCTTCTGCACCTGGCAGGGCACGGTGAGAAGCTGAAAAGTCCTTCACTTAGAGTAGACACTGCAACTACCCAGCAACAACTAAAAACATCAATGTGTTATCAATATTATTCTCATACTAAATCCAAAATACAGCACTATACCGGCTACTAGAAAGAAAATTAACTCTATCATCTCAGTCAAAATCAGGGCAATATATAATAGAAATATAGTTCTTGATACTATATGCAATTTTATGGTAAATAGTTTGTGGGTTTTATCTTTGTGCACAATGATAAGCCTCTCTCTGTTTCTATGAAACTTTATAAACAATATTGTGATTGAATAGGTAATGGGACTGCACAGCTCTGAGGTTCATTTCCGTTATGTTTTCCATTTCTAGAGAGGATTTTTTTTTAATAATTAGTACTTTTTTAGATGTTGAAAAAGTGTTGTTATGAAAAAGTGGTATCTCTGAGTATCAGTAAGACATTACTATATATTGAAGAAAACAGTTGAGGTTTTTTTAATTATAGGCAACATTGTAACTGCAGAGAAAGGATGGGAAGGGGGGAGAAGAAAAAGGGGGATGAGAACTAATTATTATAACCTAACAAAGCAGCAGACACTGCTGCCCAAACCACTTCTGCTTAGGCTGATGCACTGAATCAGACCAAAAAATTTCTTCATACAGCCTTCAAGACAATCACTTTCAAATGCTTCTAAAGTATGAATACTCTCAAATATTTTGATACATGCCCATATTACTAATGGAAATATGATTGCTATTATTACAACCAGATTTCACGACTCTTCATTCCTTTTCTACGTGTGGATTTTGCAGGCTGATATTGACAGTTGAGCAAGTTGTTACAGCTGGTCATAATACATCTGTCAGAAACTTTTGAAAATACGACTTTTCTGTTAAAGGAGGGAATCTTTTTACTGTGGAAAATGTCAGGGTCTACATTTTCCAGTTTTTGTGGGGTTTTTTGTGATAAATACATGTTTAGGAAAACTGCTGTGAAAAAACCTGGACAGAGTGTTCACAGGCGAACACTTCAGATCCTTCAGAGCTGCACCAGGCACTGTGGGGGAAGCTCACAGAGAAGAGGGATTCATCAGCAATGCTGCAGCAGCAAAAGGATGCACCTCTCCCTGACAGATTTCACTCTGCTGAGGGTGATGAATCTCTTGTGTGAGTTTTGCTGTACAAGGTTAGGCTCCAGCACAGCCACCCTTGCATTCAGAAAAATTATCACTGAATGTGCTCAGCTGCTGTCAAAACATGCAGGAAAAGATGAGAATAAGTGTTTAATTCAGTAAAAAACAATAGCCAGGGATCCCGACTTTTCTAAAACTGTATTGCCAGAGGTCCTACACTTTCACCATGGGGACCTCTATCATATTCTCTAAAATCTGCCATGTCAAAATTGTAACTGCTAATAAGTGAGGTGCTAGCATTCTCAAGGTGGTTTAAGAACCCTTTCATATTATGATGGGCAATGCATCAGAATTAATTAGTATGAAAGCTGGTGAGTATAAAATGATGGTTAAAACATCAGAAAGAATTAGAATGAAAGGTGGTAAAAAGCCCAACAGCCATAAGCTTTCTGTGATGGAGCTAAAGGAACACTTAGATAAATGGAGACCGACATAGCGAACAATCCCTTTACAAAAGACTTTCAAAAATGCCTTCTACAATATTTCAAGTTGAAAAAATAAGGCTAAGATGCTTGCACGCAATTAATTCCAGCAAATTCTATTATGTCCAAAAATCTCAAACAAAAGCCCTCTTCAAATATTTCAGTAAGTATACATTTCTACAGAGCAACATGAGCTTGAATTGCCTTTTAGTTATGCACAGAGGAGACTTCCTGAATACACAGGGCCGTTTGTTGTCAACTGCTTACAATGTACATTCATGAAAAAATGTTATAGGTTAGGCACTTTCAGTATGTGGAATGTAACCTGGAAGAAATGTCATCAGAGCTGGCACTGATGTGGTGTGGGGAAAAAAATCAATGTATGTATGGCTTGGCAGTGTTTGCAAGTGTTCAGTTTGCAACCTCAAAACTCAAGGGAGGACAGTCTGAACAAACACAGCAGGAGTCATCAGACTCTTTCCTCAGCTATACACACACATAATATCATGCTGTTCCTTTCAAAACGCCATAAAATAGTACAGTATCTAGCAGAAGCTGATGCTCCTCTTGTCAGTAGTAACTCTCATATTGCTCCTTTCACGGCCAATTTAGGGAATAAATAAACAGCAGTGCCATCTGCCCCACCCCACAAAGGACCAATCTATCAAGCCCAGCAGCAGTGGAGAAATCTTGATCTGCTGCGGTGATAGAGTACTCACATCCTGAAGGATGAGCTCTGCTGTCATCTGCTGATGAACAGCACTGCCAAATGGTTTGCCATGCCTTGATATGGAAAACAGAGTATTAATGAAACATTGTGCACAGATGCAACTAGAGAAGCAAACATGACGCTTTTCAGCTTCAAATACTGCATAAACAGTACTAAGCACCTGATAGCAAAGTGTGGCCTTATCTTTCCCTTAGCACTTAAACATACAGGTGTTTCCCTTAGCACTTAAACATATAGGTGAGAGAAAGAATGTCTGACCTGACATACCAGAGAGTGATGAAAAGGTCAGATTTCTTCTCAAGAAACTACTTTTATGATTACTGATGCAGCAATTTTGAAACCGCATTGATGCATATAATTCCACATTATTAAAAATACTCAGATACAGGTTCTGCTACACAAGTTTGGTGTACTTGAGGAATGAGTGCTTATTTCTTTTTTTTTTCTAAAAACTTACAAGTCCAAAAAGCATAGTGAGATTTTTTTGAACAGGCATTTAAACCAAAACGTTTTCATCACAAATTATACTTTTGCAGAAGGGTAAAGAATCATTCAATTAAGTGTTTCTGTCATTTTAGAACAAGATTTGTTAAAGTCAGAACTTCTGTTTTTTGGAAGAGTCTCTTTTGATTAAAATTCCTCATGACCAGGGTGATACAGCACTGGCAAAGGTACCTTATCACAGAAAACAGCCAATCCCCAAAACTAGCCTGGGATGTAGGACGCACAAGTTCAAATCTCCACTGTTTCAACCTAGTAGGGATTCAAATATGACTCAAGGACTCAAGGAAGGAAAGCTGTTATTCTTGCTTGCAAACAATGTTCCTTAATCACTTCTGAGGGGATTAGCTCTAAGTGCATGCAAAGTCATGCACAAGGAAATCAGTGTCTTACTCTTTGTTTATGCAAGGAAGTGTTTATATTACTTTACTCACCATTCCATGATTTAGCCACGCTGGTATAAAATTATCAAGCAGCTTTGGATAAACCAGTTCCCTGTCATAGATATAGATGCTCCAAAACATCGTCACAACAAACTAAGAAGAAAAAAAAACAAACACAAGACATTTTAAAATGTATGTTTCTGAACAACTGCTACACATTTTAGATAGCAAAATGAGGCATTTAGCAAATGAGCTATGGACAGACACAGATACTATAGTTCTTTGACCCAATCCTGCTTTAATCGACAGTGTGAATCTGCATTATTCTTTGCATTCAGAGGAGTTTTAACTTTTCTTCTTTTGTTTTTGTTTTTTTTTTTCTTTTGACTTTCAGCCTGGAAAAAAATCTCATTTTTTTGAACTACATGCCTGTGGCCAAATTACAACTGAGTACAATACTTTAGTAGCAGATGTGGCACATAAATAATGTTTCACCACTAGCAGGATAGAAAACAAATGAAAAATCAGGTAAAATATCACTTGGAATTCATAGAACGTATAAATATGAAACATTCACCCCTAAACAGAAGTCTATAAAGTCATCCATGCACTTTCGCATGTCAGCCATCAAAATAGCATTGTTTAGAAAAAAAAATTAACCCTTCAACTACTCTGCACACAATTCATGGACTAGGATCCACAGAAAAAAGGTCTAGTATCCTGCTCGTTTGTTGGTATGAAATTTGCCTTGGTTCTTGTCAGAGACTATTTACCAGGAGCCCAGAGACCATTATTTCCACTAAGCTGAGGACAAGACAGATGGCTCAGATAAAGTTTGCACTAGGCTAAATTTTTGCCAAAGTGCGTACAAATTCTTTAGAGATACCCTGATGTCTGAAAAGCAAAGACAATATAAAAACGCAGTCATTTACAGAAATAATAGTTTTAGCTTACCTTAGCTGGGGAAAGAACAAAGTAAGTAGTCTTCTAATTAAAACACAATTGCTTTCTTACCTTGAATTTGAGTGATAGTTTTCTAGTAATAAAAGGCTTATTGTTTACAGCCGTAACATCCAATACCTGGGCCAGGAGCTTTTCAACAACTGTTTTCAGGGGATCTCTACACAGTAGCAACAAGTCCAAGTTTAAAGTTTGAGAGGCAACAGATAGGACTTTCACTGAGATCAGCGGGTAAGTATTCAGTTGCATCCAAATCGATGTGGCCTGTGATTTTACAGCTAATTTGGGGAGGCAGTAAAAGAAAGTGCAAGATATATGGGGTGAGCCCAGCAAGGTCAGCAAATTACTAGTGTGTGATAGTGTAGGCTTAAGTTGTTTCATATGCTTCTGACTTTGCAAAGTTAAAACTGAGGTTGCAGTTTATCAATGGCACCTTGTTCTAACCACAGACACGCAGACTTTGGCCAGCCAGTTACGTGAATGACCTGAACCAGTACACTGTTCCCTCAGTGCGCATACAGTACATAGTTTCTTGGTTTCCAACACACTTGTCCATCTGTTATGACAGCTATCGGTGCCTGCTCAGAACAAGCTTGGACTATTTCATTAGTGTACAGAGGCCAGGAAAAAAAAAAGGTTATGATGGACAGCCTGAAAAATATTGCAAGTGTAAAGTACCCCATAAGAAGTCTCTCTTCTGGGCCAGTCTTGGCATTGGTGCAGCCCAGCTCTTTATGCACCTGCTGACACATAAGTGCCAAGATATGAATAGCTGAACAGCAGGGAAAATGGAAGCAAAGTATCCTCTTCTCTATAGGCTTCCTAGAAGTCATGTATTATCACAGTGGGTCTCTGAGAACCTGCTAAGACCAACTGGGACGTAAAACTATATTCTCAGGCACATGAAGACTGAGACTGAGAATGCTTTTTTCCAAGGAAGTCTTATGGCAACGAAAATCACCTAGAATTAGGTTGAACCTTATTACGCCGAATACAACAAAGCTGGCATGTTTTGACCTGTTATTTTTGTGTGTAGCAGAATAAAACAATACTTTGCCAAGGAGGTGAAGATAAGAAAAGAGGGGACGTGCCATCTGTCCCTTAACCAAAGTCAGCCAATGGATGGAATGGGATCAGCCTAGCTGGTTGCAACCATCTGGAGTTACAGACGGCAAATGCTGCTTAGCAAAGCACTATCACAAGGCAGACATAAGGTAAAAGAAGTGCGCAAAACCCAAGGTGTTATAGAACTAACCTATCCCAGAGGACGACCTGACATGAGACTAACGCCAACGCCCTGGAGAAGATCCCTTCCAGTGTCTGACTGGTTCACCTGACCTTTCCTTACAATCAGTTCATTTGGATAAAATTAACTATAAAAATGAACTATAGCACTAGGAACTAAAATGAACTATAAAAATGAACTATAAAAATGAGGTATTTGGATAAAAAAGAACTATAACAAGGACTTGCTTCTTAGCTACCTTGGCCGCTTCTGAATTTGTTCACTTTAATTAACGAGCAACTGTTGGTCTGGTACTTTTAAATCACCTCTACTACGCATACACTTCGGTGTTTGGTAGAGTTTTATTTGGGCTAGGCTTTGCCAAGATCACACACAGTCATGCAGTGCCAGTCCATGACACAATGAGCTGCTTCTTTACACTGTCTATGTAAGGCTTAATCAGAATTGCAGAATGCTCTTATGCTCATGCCACGTTCCTTGTGGCACAATTCATCTCTGTTGTGGAGACAGTCACAGTACTACCCTCGCATGCCAGGCTGAACAGGCTGCTCATATGGCACCAGACATCTTTCAGGGAGCCCAATATTTTCTTTTGTTCCCAAGGCAAAATGGCACAAATGTCGCTCTTCCTCTTTAGACAAACTCAAAACCTGGAATTCAAGGAAGAAAACAGGCACAAGCAATTGTTTTTATACTTCTTTGTACAGCAGCCTCCTAAGATTGCGGATTTTCCAAAGACAGTGATTACTTGGCTAAACGACATAAGGTTAAGCAACATATAAAAGAACAAAAGAGTCCCTCCTTTGCTACTTCTCCTATCTAGGGTCATTACAGACCAAAGAGAACCTCAAATTTGCAAGCAGACCTTGGAAACTGTTTGAAAATATGGAACAGCTAACTTGTTGCAGGCATCTAAAGTATTGCTAAACGAATAGCAGCAGAAAAAGATTAAGGCTGAAAACTAAACTCTGCTTTCCCACTTAAGGAGATATTCCTTGAGTTTTTCTCCTCTGCCTCTGAAGCTTCAGAGGACATGAGAAGAGCATGTGGCACTGCCAAGGGAGAACTTTTAAAGGACAAGTTGGGAAACAGTTGGTGATTCAAAAGGGAAAACAAGTGGCTTTATCAAAACACCACAAATGGAAGCGAAGAGAAACTAAGAGAGGAAAGCCAGTGAAAAGAAATGCGTAATTTGCTGTTTTACGTGAGCCCAACCAAGAAATGTTATGCAAAAGAAGAATGAACCCAGTGGAACTTTATTTTCCTGCACTATGTGTTTTTGGTTTTGGCTGGGATGCACAATTCACTCATTTCCTGGATGGCCTCATGACAAATTAAAAAACCCACCCTTACTCCTTGACAAAACTTCTCAGTACAGTTAAAGGTAAGCTTTCTGGCTATCTCCCAAGGCATTTGCAGTTAACTGTCAGTATAAATATATTGTTTGTGAGCCTCTTCGAGGGCTAAAGGCATTACATATAGAGGCAAAGTGTTATTACAAAGGCAGACCACAGTGAGCATAAATTGGCATGGTATTAGCTTTAGGTGGGTGCTTCCTGATCTCTTAGGCATTTGAATAAACTAAAAGAGGGCTAGGAAGTGTTGCCCACAGACTTTTCGTGGAATAAGGCTTTACTGCATAGAAAATTGGTTTGTTGATTTCTGATTTCATTCTCTTAAGAGTTGTATTAAAAAGAACAACAACAGGTAGACAGTAGTCATTATGTCCTTCAAAGAGGTTCGTGTTTATTTCTTGATGCTCCAAAACAAAAGGGTAGGTTGGCAACTCAGTTTTATCTGGGCTCCCAAAGACACACAACACATAACGGTGGAGAGATGTGATTTGCTCCGAGATTTTGCAAGATTTGATCTGTTGCACAGACACCCAAGGAGACTGTTGCCTTTGGGCTGGTTCTTTCCCTTCCTTTGGAAGGTGGGAAGAGGTTGGTGGTCAGACTTCCTGGGTGGTTTATATGTAACACTTTTGCAGGAAGTACTAAAAATGAAATACCTTGTTACTTTTTTTTTCACACATCATTGTTTGAGTTGGGAGTGGAAACCCCTTTTCTCATCTGTTTTTCAGAACAAGTCATCTCAAGGGCTTCCGTAAGCAGGAAATACAGAAAAAAATGTGTTGAATTGCTCTTGAAAAACTACAGTTAGTGGGCTTTAAAATGTTCCCCTAGTATTTCCATTATTCCCTAAACACGCCCTGTGTAAAACACTGAGCAATAAAAAAAATTTAGATGTTAAAGTAACTGAGAAGTACTTAAGCATGACCACTGCTGTTACATTAGAAACCCAACAAGGATTTAGTTCACATCTGTCCAATTTTCATGTGTGAAGGTCCCCTTGTGTCGCTACTGGAAACCACTGAGAAGCTCCATGGAGAGCTAGGTGGGTGAGTCTCAAAGAATGAAAGTCTGCATTTGAACTTCTTTTTTGGGGTTTGGGTTTTGGGTTTTTTTGAGTGAGGAAGCTGTTGAGAGAATATGGGAAACAAGGGAACTTTAACTTTTTTTGTGCAGACACTCTGGTGTTTAATAACTTCCTTCTAACAAGCACCTCTGGCATACTGAAATTTCACTGAATATCTTCTTACACATAAATAACTCTTTAGAGAACAAAGCCAGCTACTTTTGGGCCCTGAACTGTTCCTACCCATAATCCCATGGAAGAAGAGCCCCCAGTGGCTGTCCCTCAGACACTGGCTAAGACTCTGGCAAGTGGTAACTGCAGTGTGGTGAGTACTGCTGGTAAGGAGCAGGTTTCAGGAAGGAGCTGAGACCAGTGTTAAGTTATGAAGTGCTGCTGTTTGTCTCCCAGTAGCCAGGAGAAGAAACAACAATGAAATCAACCTTTTTAGGCTTTCTTTGTAAGAAGTAAAGTGAAATATGTGGCAATCAATTGCTCCCCCTCACCACTGAAAGGTCACCTTTGGAAATGGAGAGCATCTGTCCAATGAGCATAGCCATTTCTTATTATTTTCCGGATTTTTTTTTTTTGGTTTAAGACACAAGTTGTTTCTGTATGAAACTCTTGAGAAAGCATCTAGTTCCAGGTATGCAACATGTTTCTTAGGAACTGCTAACTTGTAAATGTTGCAACAGTACTTCTAGTGCAGGCAGTGGCTACCTGGGAACCCTTGCTTACCGGTGGCAAGAGAAACAATGCCTGAAAGAAATGCGCAGAATTGCCAAGACAAAGTGAAGCTGAAATTCTCCAATATCTTGAAAAGTTTCAAGGTCAGCAACGCTGCAGAGGTGGAGGAGCGCACAAACAGTATGGAGCTAAAACAGTGGCAGTGGTGTGAGAACGGCAAGGAAGACGTGCTTTGATGCATGTAAAGGCTTACACTTCTAGATTGAAAAAGGCACTTAAAATCTTTAAATAAAGACCAATAATGTGATGTTGTCCTTCTTCACTTCTGTCAACACAGTAGGAAAAGCATCTGTTGCTAATCACAATCATAACCACTTCTAATTCTCAATGTCCCTTAAAAACAAATGTAACATATATATCTCTGCACCCATTAAATACATATTTGCAAGCCTGTTTATTCACACATTTTTTCAAAACTAGATTAGTTGATCCAGTTTCTTCTACCATGGCTGGAGAACTGCAGTCTGTTACCCCAATGTGAATTGTAGCAGCTCCCAAGAGGCCAGCCAGCAATTACGGTAAGGGAAGGCTACCAGCTGTGTGTTTATAGGTGTTTCACATATGCTTTCCATGTTCTAACTTTACAAAAGCATTCTGTATTTCTTCATGTATTGTAAAATCCCACATAAATGGTGAAATTACATTTTAATGAAGAATCTCTGAATATATCAAATTATGATGATAGAATGGTATGTTAACTGCTGTTAATTGCCAATAGGTGATCAGCTTTTGTGAAACAGTACAACTTTTGAGACTTCATACAGTTTTCTAGTACTCCTACCATGAAAAAACCATTGCTTCTAGCGAATTTATTTTGAACTACTGCACACTGAAATAAAAAGTCAGAATTAAAGGCTGATCCTGAATTACAACAAAAGCAATGCTTTAATGAAAGGTTCACGCATTTCTTTTAATGTAACCTGAACTTAGAACTAGACTGAAACAGATCATATTTCCATGTAAAAATCCATGAAATTCTGGATTTTCAGCTGCTTTCAGTGTGTGGTATGAGACACCTAGAGACTCAGCACCTCTTGCCATTGAAAGTGATGTCAAATGTCCCAGTGGAGCAGGACCTGATCCAAAGAATAGTTTTCTTTTGAAAAAGATATGTAAAATCCACATTTTTCCATATCTCTGTGTGCTTTTTTACATTACTGACAAATCCCTTTTTTTCCTACCTCATTTCTCCTGTCAGCTCTGAATCCTGCGTGGGATTAACAGAGAGCAACCTGGATTTTTGCTTCCCTTATTGCCCATGACAAAATGGCTTACAGCCCAAACTCCAGTTAGGTTGTCATGGTGCGAAACATGCCACAGTCAGCACTTTCACTACACCTGATGATGACACACGGGGCAGAAGAAGTGCAGATTGACTCTCAAGATGCTGCTGGTACAATTCACATTTGAAATTACTTGTACAATCAAGTTGTTATTTTCAAGTACATCTTTTCTAATGAGCAAAAAGTAATTTCAGCAACATCAGTGCTCCCTTACACTTATGGCGAACAGAGAGTAGTAAAATCATCACTACCATTTTTCCCTTTCCACATAGTCTTTTGTGAGAGGTGGGGAAGCCAGAAAACAATTCTGTCAGCCAGAAAACAATTAGTAAATAACACCGCCTATCCCGTTTGTAAAGACATGTGCAGATTAACGCCATACTTACCACTCCAACAGGGAAAGCTAGAACAGCCATCACCCAGTCACGGAGGGAAATTAATTTTTTCAGCTGTCTCTCTTGCTCTTGACTGTCATTTCCTTTAGTGAGAAGACTGGACAGGTCGGTCAAGACGCAGATCCCAAAGAAGACAGCCTGGATAACCTGCATGGAAAGGGAACACACTCTTCAACAGAGAGAAGACTAGATGTTTGGCAGAGAGCAGGTTGGACACAGGCACGCATGAGGAATACTGCCACGGAACTGACACGTGGAGTGGGAAAACATCAGTCCCTAAAATATGGGTAGAGTTTGTACACATAAAAGCCGCTTGTGCTTCTAGACTGAAAGCCCTGCATGCACTTTGCTCCTCATGTATCGGGGGAAAATTGATGCAAGCGGAAGGACCATTCCAGAGGTGAGACTTCCCACCCTCACCTCAGACACGTGCCACCCCCCAGGGACTGAACTGCAGCCACCTCTTCCTGCTTCACTCCATACAACTTGGCCCCAAATCCACAGCATTTGCCTCTGAGGTGGAAAAAGTGAGGAACGCTTCCTGTAAAAAGAAAGGAAAGAAAAAAGACAAGTGGTTCCTTCCCTTGTGCCAGGAGCAGCACCTAAAGGCTTTGCCTGCCCCAGACACTCCACGCAGAGGCAAAGAAGGTGCCTGAGGCTTCCTGAGTGATGCAGCACACAGACTGGGCTCTGGCAAGTCCATCACTGCTTCATCTCAGGTAGCAAATGACAGAACGAGCAAGCTGCAGGAGTTATTCAAGCTTTGTTTTTGTGATGGTGAACTGTCATTTACCTGCCTTTTCCTTCATGTGTTTATGTATTTGTGTGCAGTATCGTAAGATTATCTGTTGTATTAAATCGTTAATTGCCTGAACACACCAATTTCGTTCAAACTTGACTTGATCTTAGTTTGTTCACTACGTTTTTCTTCCTTAATTAGCTCAGTAAAATTGTAATAAGTTAGCTCAGGAATGCTCTTGCCTGAGGACCTGAGCATCCTTTCTAGTACAGTTCAGAGAAAGTGCACGCAGCTTGTTTACTCCCTGAGCTGGAAGCCAAGGTCACAAACCCACACACATCAGGTAATCTCAAGTAAAAAACTAACAAAACACGGGCTTGGTTCCCAAACTGTGCAGTGATTCATCGAAAAACACAAATATATGCTTAAAATACATACTACACGTTTTTCAAAGCAAGGATAGAGTACTAGTTTAGAAGTCTTATTTGTAAATCTAAGTGTTCCTCTGACTAGGAGTTCTCTGACTAAGCAGAAGATCATCCATAAGAAATAAGAATAGCACATGCCTAGATTTTGCAAAATACAATTTATTATGTGCATACATCTTTGCAGAATTTAGACTATAATAAGTAATGTAAAAAACCACCTTAGGCTAGGGGACACTGATTGGAAGGAAGGAAGGAAGGAAGGGCAAAGAGATGTTGGCTACTAGAAAGAAATCCAGAGATGTGTAATGGTTGGATGGATTAAAGTACATTCCCTTCCTCAACAATCTCTTGTATGACCCAAATACTTGTAAATTCTGGCTGTAAAGCTGTGAACGACAGACGTTCAAATGGCCCTTGGATCTGCTTGCAATTCTACTGCCATTGCTCTCCCCTCTCCAGGCTGTAGCTACATATAATTTGCTTGATAAATAGATGAAGCAACATTACAAAACATTCCCTGAAGCCATGAAACGTGACAGACAACTAGAGCTAGAGCTGTATATTGTGCTAGAAAAAGGTATTACTACTTCAAATGAGGGCCTGAAAAAGTTACCACCTTCTACATAATTTCTGAAAAACATTCTATATAAAAGTCAGGGCTCCTTGGAGCTACATAATCACATGAACTCCTAATGCATTTTTTCATATTATTTCTTTGAAACAAGCACTTAGTAGAAAGAAATGTTCCCATACTCGGCCCTGTTTTCCACCAAACAGATGGCCTATTTGGAGAGAAGGAATAGAAGAGCTAATTATGCATTTGCTTGACTTCAGAGGAGATATGATACCATCTACTATTCACTCAAGAGGGTGAATGCCAAAGAAGGAAAAAGATTTAAGACAGGACTGGAAAAAAGAGTATACCTAACAGTAATGAGATCAATCTGGGTGTTAAAAAGTTTAGGCTGAGTACCAAGAATTATTTCCTAACAGTGAGCTCTGTCAGACCATGAAATAGTTTCTCAGAGGAAGTGGTGGAAGCCTCATGGCTTGAGTCACTCAAACCAATATTGGACAGAACATTCAATAATGTACTGCAGGGAACAGTATTACACTGGCAGGGCTTGGATGAGTGACTAATGGATTGTTTGCAGCTCTAACTATGATTCCCTAAAATGGTCTCTCTCCAAAGTAACACAGACTCAAACAATCACACTTTCCAAGGGAATTGAGATTGTACATCCACTAATCAATCACAAACTGAACAACTTCTCTCCCCATTATCCTGTTATGAACACACTGCTTCAAGGGAAAACATAATGATATCATCGGGAATAACTGAAAACTCCTAAAGAGAAAGAAAATACCCAAAGATTTTCAAGAGTGGGTATGAAGTAAACTATTCTACAAAAAGATTAACAAATAAAAAACTATATAGGAATGAAAAAATTACGTATTTATTGAGAACATGCAGAGCCAATGAAAAAATTGTATAGTGTTCAGGGAGAAACAGTTCCAGCTTATTCACACAAATAATGTATGTACATTTACTCTAATACTTCCTTTCCTTTCTCGAATGCGCAAGAAAACTCTTCTGACACCTATCAACATTTAGGATTAGACTGAGGACCTCCAGAGCTGCATGAGTCTCAGCAGCATAAACTGAACAGCCAGAATCAGTAATGACTTACGTCCTTTGTGGGTCTGGCATAGGAAGAGC